CCCTCCAAAGAGGGAGAGGAACTTGCTCAGGAGGGAGGCACACATGCTGGCGATGTGCACGAAAGGGCCCTGGGGGCGGGGGCCGGTGAGTAGGGCAGAAGCTGGCCTTGACCTTGGCCTGGCCTCTTCTCCCCATTGAGAGCCTCCCCTTCACTCCCCCGCCCGCAGTTACCTCTTTGCCCAGAGGCATACCGCTGCCCAGGGCACAGGTCAGCCCAATGACCTTGGCCACAAAGGTCTTGAGGGTGAGGTATTCTTTTAGCACCACTCCCCGCAAGATGGTCTTCATTTCGGGGATGCCAGACCCTGCGGGGAGGGGACAACGGCCAGGACCGTCACTGGATGGACTCAGCGCAGGAGGCCTGACCGCTGCCCTCCCCTTGCTCCTGTCATACCCACAGCCTGAGGGGCCAGGATCTGTGTGAATCCAGCGGAGAAAGTGATAAGGACGACGGGGTAGGTGACCCAGGCCAGGTACTGGAGTAAGATATTGGTGTTCAAGCCCTGAGACATCCACTGCTGAGCTGCGGGAAGAGGACATGGTGCTGGGCCCTCGATGCACACAGCCAGCCGCTCCCTGCCTGGCCCCGGGGCAGCCTGATATGCCAGGTGGTTTCAGGAAACACGGCCCGCAGCCCAGGCAGGTGGAAGGGAAGGGGCCCTAGAGGGCTCTCACGGGGCAGAGCCCACCGTGGGTAAAAGGGTGAGCGGACTAAGGGAGGCAAGACACCGTGGCCTTTGGGAGTGGCAGTGGCTGTGTCTGAAGATGGGCAGTCAGGCTGGCCAGAGAAGGGGGTCAGCGGCCAAGGAGGCAAGACACCTCAGTGACTGAGGCACAGAGGAAACAAGCCGGTGGCCCCTAGCCCTCTCCCGGACAGCGCCGGCCCTCACCCTGCAGACAGGTAGCAATGGCATAGTCCATGGCCCAGCTGACCAACGCCATGAGGAGCCCCAGCAGCACCAGGAAGATCCAGTCTTCGCCAACTCTGGACACTAGGAATTTGTGGCAGCGCACAGAGCAGACTGGGAGCAGGGAAGATGGACGAGGAGGCTGGCACCCAAGGGCGCCCCCAGATCAGCCTGCCCCCCGCCCAGCACCAACCCAGCTCTCACTTCGGCATGGCGCGCAACGACTCTGCCCATACTCCAAGAGCTCTGGGGGTGCCCGTGGGGAAGGGGGCCCCTTCCAGGGCTCAGGCCCTCCCAGGCGGATCCGAGCAGCTTCCTCCTTGGCAAAGGCCCCGAGTTCCTGAGTGTAGCGACCGTACATCTGGAGCAGGGGGGCAGGGGGTCATTAGTGAGTACGTGTGTGTGTGTGTGGTGGTGGTGGGGCTCCTGGGGTCTGGAGTCCCCTTCTCCCTGCCCCCAACTTATAGACCGCCCCCCCCGGAACCCACAGTTCCCACTCTGGCTTGCAGTGTGGGAACAATGCACATTGCAGACTGTGGGGGCCGTCCTGGCCAGGGTGATGGGGACAGCCGAGGTATGGGGACAGCTCTGGGGGTGGCAGAATAATCAGTCATTAGTCCCAGGCCCAAGGGGGGGACACTGAGGAGGAACAGGAGGGAAAACCCAGGAACAGGGGAAAGATGGAAAGACCTAAGCCACAGTCTGAAAGTGGGAGGGAAGGTCAAAGAAGAAGGGATGGTCAAGGGCGAATGGGCACAATAAGAGCCTGGTGGAGCTGAAGGCAGCTGAGTTGGGCCTAGGAGCAGGCACGGCCCCAATCCTTATCACGTTCCTGCTGGGCCTCTGGCCTGTGACCAACTCAGCCGGACCCCTCCCACCCACCCTAATCCCCTTGTCCTCATTTCCACCCGCTCCCCAGCCTTCCAGCCAGCTGCAGCGGAAAGGTGGCCCTTGCTCTGGAGCTGCCCCGAGTCCAGCGGCAGGCTAAGGGACACTGGAGGCTGCGGATGGCAGGGCTGTGACTGATGCTGGGGTGATGGGACAGAGTCGAGGCGCTGTGGCCAGACCTGCCAAGCTGGGCATGTGTTGGGGGGTGGGGAGGAGTAGATTCCGCTGCCACCCGCAGAGCTTCAGGACACAAAGGGCCCCTGTTGGGGCTGGGCTGGGGGGGGAGAGGGAGGGACAGATAGAGACACACAGAGAGAGTGAGAGATAGGAGAGAGAGAAGCACAGAGAGGAACAAGAGAGGAGAGAGGAGAAGAGAAAGGAAGGGAGGGAGAGATGACAGGAGAAGCAACGAGGAGGAGGAAAAGGGTAGAGTATACAGACTCGGTACAGGACTGGAGGGGACAGAAAGACAAAGGGCAGGGCGGAGGAGGCGGAGGCCAGCGCCGAGCCCAGGGAGAGGGGCTGAGCCTGGGAGCTCGTCTAAGATTCTGCGGGAAGGAGACGGAGGCTGCCACCGATCCCAGTCTCCTGGGATCATTCTGCCTCTCCAGTCACACCTTCAGGACGGGGCACTTGGGCACCTCCCCTACTGGGTTACAGCTCAGGCCCTCTTCTCCTGGAGAGGTTCCCTCCCTGCCACCTTCCTGGGCAAATTCCAGCCAAGCTGATAAAAAGGAGTCACAGGGGCCATTGCTTTTCCTAGGCCTTGGGTCCCCCACCCCAGTGACATAAGAAGGATCAAACAACTACTCAAATATTAAGTAACGGGGTGGCCATGAGTCAGCTCTGAGCCCAGGACCCCTGCTTCTAATGAGGTCAAGGGACAACCTGGGGTGGGTGGGAGCTGCATACCCAGAGCCAGTGTGGACAAAGGTCCCAATCTCACACCCATTCCTGCTTCCACCATCCTCCCTAAAGCTCCCGTTGCCCAAGGTGGCTGGCCGTCTTGGCCCACAGGACTGACTGAGGCAGGGGCTGGGGCTGGGTGTGACTCTGATCATTGTCTACCTGCTTCTGATTCCGGGCCTAGCACAAGCTATGTCCGTGGTCGGGACACAGGGAGTGTGGGATGTGCAGCCCGGAGTGTGGAGAAAGTTCAAAGGTGTGAATGGTGCTGGGGAAGAGGAGCCGGGTGCTGAGACTGGAGCTCAGGTGGTGGGAGGAGGAGCAAAAGAAATGTGTGTGCAGGGAGGGACTGAAGGGAGCACCTGGCGAGGGGCACCTGGTGTTACTGTCCTTCGCAGGCCCCCAGCTTCAGCTGGAAACCAGCAATTTCAGCCCTTTGGCGCTGCAGCCTGTCACGCTCCCGAGGCTCAGCTGCCTCTGCTCGGAAGGCTGAGGTGGAGATGGGGAGGGCCCCAGTCCCCGCGCCTCCTGGGGTGAGGCGGAGCTGCGGGCCCGGTGCACGGCTCGGCTGCACTTACCAGGGTCTGCTCGTACTGCAGCGCCCGCGGCCCCATGCTTTCTCCCGCCGCCGCCGCCGAGGCCGCCATCTCCGCGCACTGCCCTCGCCCTCCCTGCGCCGCGCCGGCTCCGGCTCCGGCTCCGGCTCCAGCTCCGGCTCGG